AATTATTAAAGTGCTTTAATTATTTTAACCAGGATAGATTCTCATTCTCCTTTTTTATCTTTTACGTGGTTAAAAGTCGACCAACGTTTATATATCCATTTTCACATATGATTAACGACCATGAATTGATTGGCAACGTTCTTGTAGGAATTTTTACTTTCTTCCCAATACTATTAGTAGCAATTTAAATTGTCTTTTTTTAGCTAGGCTACCCTATATTAGCAATCGTACGATGGCGACACTTTCTTTCTTCCTTCACACAAACAGTGTACTCCATGGTGACACGTGGATGAATCTCAATGTACAATTCGGACCCTCTTTTCTGAATGACGCGCACTCTTATCAGCAAGAGGAGGTTATTGAAGGTTTGTCAGAATTGTCTCCTCCAATCTGATTGAAATTTTGGTTCGTTTTCTTCTTCAAGGATTGATGTCACAAACTCCCTCAACCTATCATCATCAAACCATCGGTTATTATGGTGTCCAACCATCAAAGGAAAAAAAGAAAAATTGGCCCTCCTTATAGCCTATAGAATCTTGACATTGGTATGGCGTGAGGACCGATGGCATTATTTAGTTCAAGTTGCGGTTTTCTTAAACAAAGAGCGGATAAGGCAGGTTAATTTTATTACTGTATAGTAACTAAACTTGATTAAAGTAGAGCACAAAGGTTGTAAGAATGGATAAGGATGGATTAGGGTTTTGTTTTTGTTTTATGGTTGATTTCCGAATAAGCTAGCTTGTTGTTTTGTTGCAATTTGCTACATAGTCTAATGTGTAGTTGCGCTTTTAAAAAAAAATTTAAAAAGAATCGGGAGTACTATAAAGATGCGCATGTTATGGGGGGAGGATTCCCTTGGTTTTGCTTTTGAGAGGTTTAATTAAATTAGTGCATCTTTTTTCTGATTGATTAGCCCCGCCTTAAACAAATGGCTGTCATGTTTATCCCGACAACTATTGCTCTTGTTTCCCATCTTCCAACTTAGACTTATAGATGCTAAACAGCTCAACCATTGGAGGATTGTGCACTGTTTCTGGCTAATCAGAACCATTTTCTTGACTTGTTTTGATTTAACTATTCAATAATCAAGCAAAATGATTCAGAAAGAGGGTACCTTTTTTGCATCGTTCGTACAAAATCTGAATTGGCCAACCACACTATTGATTCCTCATCGTACCAACGTCCAACAATAATATGATCCTCACTTCTTCTAATTAATTCACTACAAGAACACAATCATTTAACTAGAGGCTAATTCGTGATTAATTTTACCTTCGTATCCGTGGATAACCAAATTATCTATGGATTTAACCAAAACCCTTATGACGTGGTAATATGCTCCGTTGCTAATCGTTTTGCATCGGAAAAGCTTTCCTTGGGAATTTTAACCACGGAGAAATTCGTGGTAAAATGCTGAAAAGGTCGTGGTTATATTTTCGTGGGGTTACATGAAAAACACCACAACTTAACCACAGAACTTTCATAGATAAGTCGTGGATAAATATACCCACATAATTAACCATGATTAGATTTTGCTGTAAACTTTTCGTGGTTAAAATCTGGTAATTTTATAACAAAGAATCCGTAAGAAGTCCCTGAGTGACTAATTTATCGCATTATTAAATTTAACCACAGGCTCTTCTGTAATTCCGTGGTAATTTGCTCATTTTCTTGTAGTGATTACAGATTTATAATTAATTATTAGTAGCATAATTTCTTTAAGTACACATCCCTTACATAAAGGAATACCATAGCAATTGTAGCAAATCAAAAATTAAAGATTCCAGAAGATTTATAATCAACCAATTAATTAATGATAGTACTAGAAAAACAAAAACCTAGCTACCTGGCTAGCTAGCTACATATATGAGTAAATCATACTAGTAATTTATGGAATGGATATCGGATATGTAGAGAAGGTTTATGTGAGTTCTTTAATACAAAGTCTCTTGGGGAATGATGCTGATGACGATGAATGTCATCTCGTAATTTGTAATAACATTAAAAAACCACCAGTCTTGTGGATCACTAATGAAACAAATATTTGTTGTGGTGTTATAATAATGTTTTTATATTGTCACAAACCATTTCCTTCCGTGTTTCCCTCCTCCCAAACCATGAAGACTCAAACCCTTTCACGCTCTCCCTCCTTTTCCTCTGGGGATGAGCCAAAATTTGATTGCATTATCAAATTCCATTATTTTATGAAAGTTTAGAATTCAACAATCCTCAAATTACGCCACAAATTTGGCCATAATGCAGGTGGATTATGACTTATAGAGTGTCTTAATCCAAAACTAAAGCTCCATTTTCAAGGGACTATGATGCCCTAAACCAATCAACAAACAACATTGAATTCATAGTATTAAGTTTAGGGGTGAATAAAAAACCGGCGTGTGGCGGGCGCGTGAGATTAATTTAGACGTAAAGTCTGCAAAATTCACCTAATACTCCAGTTTGATTAAATTAGTTAAAAGAAACGATGGTCAAATACCCAAATGCTTGCAACGAAATCAATAAAGATGAAGGGCTAGCATTGGTATACGTTTGATCATCACTTTCTCTAACTATTGGAAGGGAAAGTTAGCTAATAAGCTAGTTCATCACTTTGGTTAAAGCTTTAAAAAGGAAGTCCACATACAACACCTACATAACTAAAGAAAGAATAAAGATTAAAATAGTGAATCCAGGTACCGAAATGATTCAATGACCTAGCACATACAAAAATACACCAAACATATTTTACAATAGTTTACCTTTTGAGAAGGAAAAACAAAATTATAAAAATGGAAATGTCCGTCAGCTATTATCTTGATTATTTTTTTATTTAAGTAAAAATTGTTATATACAATTGTAGTTTCATACTATATAATATTAGTTATTAAATTATATCATTTTTTTCTTCTATTTTTTTTTTCTTTCGTTACTCATCAACTAAATCAAGCATCCGGAATAATTTGAAGCCATAAATCATCCCAAAATCCCAACAGCTAGCTAATGTGTGAGAAGCTCACTGCATAGCTAAGTATATAATATTCACAAGAATCAAGAATCTTCTCCTTTAGATGATTAATTAAAATTCTTAATATGTGATTAGTCATCTATAACGACGCAATAATTAAAATATGCAGATGGAGGACAAGTGGATAGGTTTGTTTCCATCCAAAACTAGGTTAATTTAATTGACTCATCCATTAATTTAATCAACGACTTTCAGAGAGGAATGCAAATGCGAGCTGTCTTTCTCTCCATGCCATTTTCTGCAAGCTAGCCCTCTTAATTAAGACATCTTTGCACATGCTTAGCACTAAAACCATCTCAGTTCTTCTGGAAGAAAAAAAAAAAAAAAAAACTGGATCTTTCAAATTACTTCTTTTTGTGAAATTGTGATTTATATAATCGTTCTTTGGTTTGGAAAATCCACCCACGTGTTGATCTCTTGGCTTTGCCATGTGTTGGGAGTACTTTAAATGCGTTTTCCAGATTGATCCTTAATAGGAGTATATAGTTCTCAGGTGGTGCCCTAGATCCGAAAACAGTGGTTTGTTTTGAGTAGCTTTTCTGCAGACTAACTTAGAATGCAAAGGTTTTCTTTTTTGACCGTGGTCCATTCCAATTTCCATGGGGTACGTTAATTTAAACTTGCCTGATTCAGGTCTGAACGGACTGTTCTGGAGAAAGTTTTATAGTAAATCCAATTTGGGAATCTTTCCACTTTTTAAGATTTGCAAAGATCGAGCCTATGCAATTTCTGGGTTGGAGAGATGCGGAAGATATAGGATATAGTATACTTGGTATAATGCCCATTCAATGGTTGAGGGAAAATAGGAACACAATGAGTGTGAATTAAACGCATACCATTACGAGTACTGTGGTTTGAACTTGCTATATAGAAAGTATTATTTAGGCCTCTGCACTTAAAGATATACATTTGTAATCAGAATATGCTATTATTCTAATTATAAAATAATTACATAATCAAAAATAAATATTTTCATTACATTAGTTCATACATTTTTATTTCAGTCTTCAGTTTTTTATTTTTATTAAACAAGACAAAGTTCAGTACTTCTAATTCATTTTTCAAATATTGAACTTCAGACCCAAACTAAGTTTAGTCACATGGGGCCTTACTTCACGTCTTCTACTAACAAATGATTAATCTGAGATGAAGAGAGCATTTTCTGAGGGGCAGAGGAGCAATGTACCCTTCAAGGTGATTATTAGCATAAGAAACCCAATCACACCTAACAAAAAATGACATCTCCCATCTCTCTCCGGTCTCCATTAAAACACATGCTAGGAATCTTTTTCTTTGGGAAAAATAAGGGGGACGTGGAAGGCTTCCATAAAAGAGATTCTAATGTTTTACTTTTGAATGTGCTCTTTTCCTAAAAAAGAACAAACCAAACTTTGCAACTACGAAGAAACAGTCTTAAATATTTGAAGAGCTCATACAAACTACTGCTAGATCATATCACAAAACAATAAAGCTAACACATTGTACATTTTATGGACCATATTCTACTCCAAACACAAGGTTTTCCACTTTTTGTTGGGTACATTACAATAAATCTGGTTTTCAAAACTGCTGGCCCAACAAGTCCGAATTGAAGTCGAACAAGTATCTTTTGCAAAACATTTTAACTTGTATTTAATCATTCTTGCATAGCCATGCCAGGAATAAAATACTCCCTCCGCTTATTAATATAAAATATTTTGATTTATAAATAAATATTAAGAATAAATGGCTTATATTAAGGACCGGATGGGGTAGCGACAAATTACAGATTTTTTTGTAACCAGGCTATCTATTTATTAGTCTAAGGAGAAGTTAGATTAGATGATGTTCAGAACATCAGAGCTCTTAACAGGGGAAAACCAAACAGACTCAACGTCTGGACTTAACAAAGAAGTAATGGGCTCATCCAATGTGATGTTTAGGCCTAATTTAATTCGATATATTTAGGGCAAAATTCAGGCTTCCATAAATTTGTGTTCGATGAGGCCCAATATGTAATTGTTACGGGCTGAGTTGTTGAATTTTTGACTAAAACCAAAGTAAGGAGGATTACACAAGAAAATCCCGCTAACAGTCAACACTGGCAAAACAAAATTCCACACGCATGCCGAACTGCCATTTTTGCCATTCATGGCTAATTGGGATGTACAGAAAATGAATTCCTGGCACATTGCGAGACAAATCTAGAAATAGTTTCTGGGTTGGATCTCCACTGAATTGATTGAAAATCTCACCAATCAGAAAGTCCCATCTCACCAAATCCACGTCTCACACCCACTGATTTGACTCACTGGACTCTTGGACTGTGAGACTCCCACTCCCCCTGGTCTCTCTGTTCTACTATACTCTGTAGCTAAGCAGAAAAAGAGATGGGTAAAGGCGGTGGCTGTGTTCCCAGCAAGCAAAAAAACCGCAAGTCCTCCGCCGCTACCGACCAGGACAGCCGCCCACTGCCACCGGTGGAGCCAACCACCAACACCGACGCTGGCGATGGAGTTGCTGAGAAAGAATTTGTTCCCCCAATGGAGAGAAAAATTAAACTCTTCATCGTGTATTACTCAATGTACGGCCACGTGGAGAGCCTGGCGATGCGGATGAAGAAAGGGGCTGAGAGCGTGGAAGGTGTGGAGGTGTGTTTGTACAGAGTCCCGGAGACCCTCTCCGACGAGGTTTTGGCCCAAATGCGGGCGCCGCCGAAGGATGATGCTATCCCCGAGATTGATTCGGCGGCTCTGCTGACGGAGGCCGATGGGATTCTCTTTGGGTTTCCGACGCGATACGGATGCATGGCGGCGCAAATGAAGGCCTTCTTTGATTCCACTGGGAATCTGTGGAGAGAGCAGAAGCTTGCTGGAAAGCCTGCTGGGTTTTTCGTTAGTACTGGGACCCAAGGAGGTGGTCAGGAGACTACTGCGTAAGCATCCTGTCTTCCTTTTTTCGTATTCAGTGTTGTGAATTTATAATGCCATGAAATTGTTGTCATTTACATTCAATTTAGCCTTATTTCGTGGTGAGAGCTGGACTTTGATGCGGATGATGTAATTAATTTTCTGGTTTTCTCATCATTAATGAACTCATCAGTTCTGGCTTTCACATTATTGTTTAATTGTTTGGTAACTTATCTTTTTTGTGGAATATATATTTTTTGCTAATAGGTGAAGTCATTCACAACTCCTTTCTCTGTCCTAATAGGCACATATTGTTGTATCAAGTTTGTGAAGATGAACATATGCAATTAGCTTGTGGCCTCCGATGCCTTTTGGAGGAATTCTAGGCTATGTATGAATATTGCATTTTGAGCATTTCGTCTTGCAGTCAATAACTTCAAGAAGTACTATTTAGTAGGATATCTCTAAGGTTAGAACAGGCAGCAGAAGTTGGTCTATTCTCTTTCTCTTTTGTTAGGGAATCTCTTTAAACTAACAAACTCCACTTGAATGAGTAGGCTAGCTAGTGTGATTTTGTTGACGTTCAGGACTGAGCGATTTGGGGTTAAAACTTTCAATATCTTTGGGAAGCATATTGCTTCGTTAAACTCAATTGAACAGCATGCCTTACTCGTTATTCAAATTGGGTTGCCTTAAAATCCTGGCAACGAAAAGAAATTCATGAATATCTAATGGTTTTCAGCTGATATCCATGTGTTATTTTGTAGATAATCATGACCTCGGTAAGAATATTTGTTAAAACTTTGAATATGATCAGCATGAAGTTTCCTGTCTTTTTGGTGGACACGAGGCTAAGCTAAACATTCATGTGGCCTTGTGATGTCTTTGATATGCCTGGTGGCAAAGTCTTGAGTTTTGAATCAGTCAGGAAGTTGCATTTCCAGGTCAATCTTTGGAGTCCTATTCTGAAAAATCATAGAATCATGGCTTTCTCGGTTCATCCAAAATTACTGAGTTATGACTTGGAAATGACAAAGATATTAGTATACTCGAAACAGTATATGTTTTGCTGCTGGTGAATTATTTGTAGTTCACCCTTATTCCTCCTTGCTAGGATCCGAATCTTTTGACAAAGCATCAATCTTGATTTACTGTAATTAAGATGTATAGTATCTGACTTAAGTTCATAGCAATCTTTGATCGACTCAAAAAGCAAAGCCCATGTAGTATGTACAACTTACGCAGAGTCTCCTTGTGACTTGCATCCTTCTGGAAATGGCTAATGACGTGCACCTGCTCCATAAATTTATGAACAAAGATTATATGTTGGAACTTCTATATCCTCATCGTCTACATTAATTGGTGGAGAGACCATTTCTGTTTTTTTGTTTTGGAACTTCTATATCCTCATCGTCTTGATGAACCTATCTGTACTTGGCAAATAAAATGAAAGATTATACATGTCTTAGCAGTACCCATGTCATTTAACCTAGGAAAATTATCTTATTGTGTTTTCTTTAATTGATTGATTGATTGATGTTCTTACTTAGTTATACTGCATGATCATAACCGTGCATTTCACTGTATTCAGTGTAGAGCTGTGGAAACTTAACAAAGCTCCGTATAATATTTGTTGCAGCTGGACAGCAATCACACAGTTGGCTCATCATGGGATGCTCTTTGTTCCAATTGGATGCACTTTTGGAGCTGGTATGTTCAAGATGGATTCCATCCGAGGTGGTACTCCTTACGGAGCAGGAGTCTTCGCGGGGGATGGCACTAGGCAAGCAAGTGAAACAGAATTGGCTCTTGCAGAGCATCAGGGCAAGTATATGGCTGTAGTTGTGAAGAAACTTGCACAAGATTAATAAGCTGGCGTTTGATTTGCAGTCTATTCATATAATCTTTTGTTCATTCGGGCTTCAGTCTTTCTGGGAATTGATTGGTGGATGCTTCTCATAGTTTGATTTTTCCTATGTTGGTAATCATTTGTCATAGTTTCAGGAGTCAAAGAGTCATCCTTACATTGAAATTTTGTACATGATTTGATTCTTCCGTTCTGAGTCTTTTGACTTAAGAGAGTTCAAGTAAATAAATCACAGTTTTCCTTCTTGACTGGTTTTTTCTTTCTTCTTCTCCTTCTTATTTTTCCCCTTTTTTGTTTTTTTTTTGGAAAACACTAATATTCATTATATTTTCAAAGTTTAACAGATATTACAAAATGGAAGCTCTGACAGGAAAAACAGAGGGACGAGAACATTTTTGTCCCTAATTTTTACTTTCCATAAGAAGTGATCCTACAAAAAATTAGTCCTCTTACTAGTAAATGACAAGATTACCCCAGCGTCAGGACCCTTTTTTTTTTTTTTTTTTAAATTTTTATATTTTACCTTATCAGTAAAGAAAATATTTTAACCCCTATTGCTATGGAATATCCGAAAGGAAATATGAACCGAATTAATTAAAATTATTAAGTCGACCACAACAATAAAGATAAAAAATAAAAAAATTGGAACATTCACAAAGTAGAGGAATAAGTCAAAACGAAGCTGAATCAACAAGTCTTGGACTCCCAGTGTGATTAGGAAGTACTAAATCCTTTCAGATTGAGAAAAGAAAGAAACAAAAGCGGCCTAAACGTAAGCCGATACACCTCGTAGTTAGCACCTTTCTGACGCAATACCGCATTCATTATACATAGCAAAGAAGAACAGAAAGAACAGAAGAGAGAAGAGAGAAGAGAAGAAGAAATACATCAATTCGCAGCATACTTAAAAAGTCAAACAAAGGTCAATAGGATCTGAGTCAGAAACATAGAGACAAAAGGCGCGATGGCGGACACTCTAGCTTCGTTGAGGTCGTTGATGGCTTCTCATTCCCCTCCCCTTGATGCCTTGGTTGTTCCTTCCGAAGATTATCATCAGGTTCAATTTTCGTTCCCTTGTTCAATTGTTGGTTTTATTATATACAATTAAGATTATTTCACTTTCTGTTTCTTTTTCGGTTATGAATTGGATTAAACACAGCGTAGCTGTTTCGATTCTCGTTCTGCAAAATTTCTGATAATCGGATTTGTCGCAGAGTGAGTATGTATCCGCCAGAGATAAGAGGCGCGCCTTCGTATCTGGTTTCACTGGAAGTGCTGGTCAGCTCGATTTCTCTTCTTCACTTTTTGGTCAATTGAGAGAAATTATCTGTGTGTTTACTTGTTGTGATGAATGAATACAGAGCATGTCATGTTTCTCTGTGTGTGTGTGTGTGTGTTTAAAGAGGAGGAAATTATATTCTATTTGTCATTACCTTCGGTTATTGATTCGGTACTCCTTTGGTTGTTGCTCTGGCATTTTTGAAGCACTTAACTGGTTTCTTGTGTTTAATTAATTGATTTCTATGTTGAAGTTTCTGATTTTGTGCTGCATTGGGTTAGAGATTAGTTATTTTCAGTTTGATAATGAGTTATTCATGAGCCAAGTGAACGAGCTTTTGACATGTCATGCTATCATCAGTGTGTTTTTATTAAATCACTTCAAAGTTATGGGGAGAAACCTTGTGACTTTATATTAAGATTAAACTATATAGTCCCTGTTTCACTGACATGCATGTGTGCTTTGTGATTGTCTTGAATTCCTATAGGCTTGGCTGTTATAACCATGGAGGATTCACGGCTGTGGACTGATGGACGTTACTTTCTACAGGCATCACAAGAACTCAGTGACCAGTGGAAGCTCATGCGGATGGGAGAGGACCCTCCAGTTGATGTCTGGATGGCAGATGTGAGTCCTCTCTTAGCATTCCTTTCATGACATAATCTCCAAATTGGTACCTTAAGCTGCACGGTTTGAGTAATTTTGAGATCAAATTGTTCCTCTGTATTGAAAAACTGCTTTGTTACCTATACTTTTGTTTTAAGTTAGCTCACGATATTAACGAGTCTTAAAATTTCTACCATACTAGAATCTACCCAAGGCGTCATCCATCGGAGTCGATCCGTGGTGTGTCTCAGTAGACACAGCTCAGAAGTGGGAACGGCTGTTTAGTAGAAAAGACCAAAAGTTGGTTCAAACATCCAAAAATTTGGTGGATGAAGTTTGGACAAGCCGGCCACCACTTGAGATAAATCCTGTTGTCGTGCATCCTCTTAAATTTTCTGGCCGTTCTGTTACTGAAAAATTGAAGGATTTGAGAGAGAAACTTGTGCAGGAAAAAGCACGCGGAATCGTGATAACAACGCTTGATGAGGTAAGCTTACAAATGCTATTCCGTACGTTAGTACTGGTTACTGCCTTGATGTCATCTCAAAGATCTTCTTTCCTTAGCTGTATTCAATTTTAATACAAGTATACAGGTTGCCTGGCTTTATAACATTCGTGGGAATGATGTCTCATACTGCCCAGTTGTTCACGCATTTGCTGTTGTGACGTTAACGTCAGCCTTTTTTTATGTGGACAGAAGGAAATTATCTTCTGAGGTTGGCGTCTTTCACATTTTGTTTCTATTTCATTTTGTCTTGTTCATGGCTAGCTTCATGATGCTAGTTTGAGATACATGTTTTCCATTCAGGTCACCACATATATGAAGGAAAATGGAATTGAAGTACGAGAATATGGTGATGTCGCCTCTGATGTTGGCCTACTTGCATCTGATCAACTTACTCCCTCAAGTAATTTTGCGAAAACTCATTTCTTTGAATATGGACTATGATTCTCCTGAGCTGGGCATAACAATTTATATTCCAGATGAAGGTGGACATGTTAACGACCTGATTTGGGTGGATCCTGGGAACTGCTGCTTTGCTTTGTACTCAAAACTCAACGCAGACAAAGTTCTCTTGCAACAATCACCTTTGGCTCTTGCCAAAGCTTTAAAGGTAATTAATGCAACGTCAAATTCTATCTACTTTACAAGGATGACGTATCTGGACATAGAGGTTGTTCGATGCTTGGTAGACGATAGTCAAATATGTGCCGAAAGGTTTATGTGGAGTGCAAACAGAACGTAGATTAACTTAGTGAAACAAAACTGGGGCTTTGTGTATGGTACAACTATATTCTTTGAAAGGTTTTCTTTTTCACTTGCCCATTATATGCGTCTTTTTTTTTTTTTTTTTTCCTTCCACTTTCTTGAGCATGAGCCTTTGCATTTTGAGTATGACCACTATCCTGTAAAGTTTAGTTCTGGTTATAGTTGGAATCACTGAGATTCTTCACCGAAAAGTAATTCTAAATGTCGATTGATGACTTGCATGATTTTCAGAACCCTGTTGAGATGGATGGGCTGAAAAAGGCGCATATTCGTGATGGGGCAGCGGTTGTCCAGTATCTTGTCTGGTTGGATAAACAGGTTTGTTCAACTTCTTGAGAACCGTAAATGTAAACAAAGCAAAGGTTTTCTTCTGGCATGATTATTTTATACCCCCTTTCCTCGATTTCCCTTAGTCTCCGCTTTTCTCTTTCCTCTGCTTGTAGAAAGTAAACCGACCTTTTGTCCCGGATATGCCCTGTTGACAATTTTCTTAATTTAGTAGTTCGAAATCTGAATGGCTGTTTTCTACTTCTTACAGTCACAATATATTCATCTTTAACCCAAGATGGCTTAAAGAATATTCTCTTAATTTAGCAGTTTAGAAACAAGAGTTTCTGACTTATTCATTTTTTTTCCCTACGTGCAGATGCAGGAACTATATGGTGCTTCTGGTTACTTTATGGCAGCTGAGAGTGTCAATAAGAATAAGTCCGTAATTTGATTTCCTTTTAATTATTCCTCTCGGCTAGTTTAGTTGCCAACTTGCTACAGAAAGTCAAGATATTGTAGGAGTAAAACATTTTGGGTTTATTGTGTCCATGCTCATTGACAACCTACAAGTTGATACAAGAATAATAATTACCCGGTCATTGTTCAGTGATGATGAAGAATTTGTTTGTCACATAATTTAGGATGTTATATATGCCCGCCAAACATTCATTTAGTTCGTATGCTATGATGTTTTTTTAAGTCCTTTCACAACATTTTCTCTTTTGTACCACTATTAAGACCAATTAACATATGTTTTTATTGAAAGCAGGAACACCACTAAACTCACAGAACTCTCTGTAAGTGATAAGTTAGAGCAGTTCCGTGCAGCAAAAGAGGTAAGCATTATGCGTGTGATTTCTTCCATGCCATTAAGACAATGTTATAGCATATACAGCTGGACACCTTTAATCAAATGTTTGCTATTAGTGGAATTTCCTCGACATGAAAAATCTTATTAACCATTCTGTATATCTAAACTACCACTCTTTTTTGGCATTTTCTGTTGTAGCATTTCAGAGGCTTGAGCTTCCCAACTATTTCTTCTGTTGGTCCAAATGGTGCAATTATTCATTATTCTCCTGATGCCAAAAATTGTGCCGAGCTTGAACCTGATAGTATCTACCTATTTGATTCAGGAGCACAGGTTCACAAACTACCGTCTTGTCTTGAATGAAAGACTTTGTTAAATTGCTCGTCTTTATACCTTTGATCCTCCAATCTGACTGTTAGGTTTTTATTTTTGAAGTATTTAGATGGGACGACAGATATAACCCGGACTGTTCACTTTGGGAAACCCACACCACATGAGAAATCATGTTATACTGCAGTAAGTTGCTCTGCATGAAAGATGTCTGGTTTATGTCTCTTATACTTGTGTAGTTCTAATATAACTAATATTAGTATCTTGTATTGCATTGCATTCTTGTTTTTTCAAAGCACTGACAGAAATCGCTGTGTTAGGTTCTGAAGGGTCATATTGCATTGGGTAATGCGCGATTTCCAGGCGGAACTAATGGTGAATTTTGTGATGTTTTCTTGCTTTGTCTTTCGATAGTTTTGATTGTTGTAAAAAGAAAAATAAAGGATGACGACTAGAATATATAAATTGAAGTATTTATGATATGGAGAGTTCATTGTTCTCTACACCACTCCACTCTTCAGGTAATACTCTCGATATTCTCGCTCGGTTGCCTTTGTGGAAGTATGGGCTTGATTATAGGCATGGAACTGGTCATGGAATTGGGTCGTACTTAAATGTTCATGAAGGTTTGTATTGTTCGTCATATAATCTGGTATAAGTTCTCCGTTCATATAAATTGATTTATGTTACTTTTTCTATATGACAGGACCCCACCAAATTAGTTTCAGGCCAGCAGCACGGAATGTGCCGTTACAAGCTTCAATGACCGTCACAGACGGTTAGTAATATACTTTGTTGGCTCATTAACATAATTTTCAAATTTTACATACTAGAGTTATTTTCATGTTAAGAATAAGGAGTTATTCAAGTAGTTATTCATCCAAATTTCAGTGATTTTATGGGTCTTCCTATGATTTGCAATTTATCAGAACCTGGATATTACGAGGATGGAAAGTTTGGTATAAGACTAGAGAATGTGCTCATCATCAAGGACGCCGATACAAAGTTCAATTTTGGTGAGAAGGGATACTTAACATTTGAGCATATAACATGGGTAAGTTACATTGTTGTCATCATGCAGTGTTTGTTTTATTTATTTATTTATTTATTATTTTCAATAGACCGAGCATTGCTTGTTATTGCAAGGTTTGATTTTCATTTTCCTTCCCCTTAACTAGGCACCGTATCAGACCAAGTTGATTGATCTTAGCCTTTTGGTGCCTGAAGAAATCGAATGGTTGAATGATTACCACTCAAAGTGTAGAGATATCCTAGCGCCATATTTAGATGAATCTGAAATGGCATGGCTGAAAAAAGCCACTATACCAGTTTCTGTTTGAATAATGTCACTGAAGAGTTGAAACTCAACTCAAGCTATTTGGAAGTCAATTCTTTCACTTTGATTATTATTTTTACTCTTTTGATAAACACAGACAAGTACACTTTGAGGTCGATGCTTTGATAATATGATTATTGTCGAATGAAGTATAGTAGATGTTTTGATAATATAATTATTGTCAAATGAATTTTATACGCTGTTTCTTGGGGTTGGGTTGAGAGAAGAATGACCACACGACATTTGTGCAGCAATTTAAAAGATATTAATGGAGTCAGGGATTCATTTGGCCATATGGTCTAAGATTGACCAAAGGTTCTTCACAAGCTAACTTTTGACATGAAATCTTATTGTCTTTTTCCTTTTTCCTATTCAACCTCTGATTGTAAATTCTGATAATACAAGTCGGCCATACATGCACATCATGCGTGGTCTTTTTCTTGAGGAAGTGGAAATTGTGGTGGAAATTGTGGTGGAAATTTTAACTAGTTGGATATTTGGTTTTGTAGTGAAAAGAAAGAAGTGTACGTTTTGAGAATTATTTTCTCAAAAATGATAGCAGGAGAATTTTCTCAAAGTTTGATTTTTGAAGGGAAACATTATTTTGTTTGGCTTGGATATGTTCTTTGGAACAAAAAAAAAAGGGATCTATTCTTCAAGATAGGTGATCACTTGTTTTCGATTTTAAGTCTATCGAAATTGAAAGGATTAGTGTAATTGCTGCTTTTATAATAAATTAGTTACGTATATATCGACTCTTGTGGAACAAATAAGGTTGGAAATTTAGCTCGAAATGACTTAGAAACTTTGGTCCTCCTGTTTCAGTCTTTTGATGTCAGCTCACACTAGTAAGGCTTAAGGATGCACATTGAAAATATTTCGTGAATGTTATTGTTTATTTTCATGTGTCGGATTCAGAAACTAACTACCATTTTTCTTCCTTTCTTCTTTTTTTTTTTTATTTTTTTGAAAAAAAAGGTTCGATCGAGGGTTCGATATCACAATAGTGGGATTAGGTTTCGATGAATATAATAAGATTGAGGATAGCTTTTTCCTCCGAAAAAATAGAAGAATAAAGTAAGCAATTCAATTGATCACGTATATCGCCTTGGCCATACTCCAACCTAGATCCTTAAATTATTGGATTGGGATTAATCCTTATGATTATTTTATCGTAATTATGTTAGTGATTGATGATGATACATATAATAGTAAATACATGTTTGGTCCCTCGCTTTATCATTACACTTGACTTTTAGCGCCAACGATACTATTTTGCTCTTGCTTGGACACCATCTCAAAGTTTATCGTTTTTCAGTCATCTAAAATAATAAATGTTTTTTTTAAGTAAAAAATTCTGCTGAAATAACAGTTTTCTTTTTATGCACTACTAATTCTGGGATGGAAAAACTTTCGCCTTGTTTGATTTTTAATAATTTCTTTAAATTTCAATCTAATAATAAACAAACAAATATTGTACTAGTTGTTCACGTGTGAAAACTTTAGCAATAGCTTGCCCATAAACCTTTTTTTTAAGAAAAAAATACTTCAAATTCACTAAAGATGGGTAAACTCATGGTCTTTGTAATAACCTTCAAGTCAAAGTGGGAGGTAAGATTGATCTTAGTGAAGCCAAAGAAGCTCACTGATACCCGGTCCCTGAAGTTAGTGATTCTATTCATTGGTAGTGTATATTTGACAAAGATTTACTCTTTTGTCTACGTTAAATTTTGATATTTTTATATTATATTTAGTACAAATTTTAAAATTGAATATAACCTATTTTTAAAAAAAAATAGAGAAAGAGTAGGATATTTTATGATTTATCAAATGAAATCCCTTTTACCCTATTAAAGCAGAAGACATGAAGCTTATGTGGCAACTAAGTATGCATCTGTTTTGGCTCCAATGCACCATATTTCAAATTTCAGGAGTCTTTTTGCCACGTGTAAGTCTCTTTTAATTAGAAGTTATATAATTTTTTTTTAAAAAAAACACATGTTTTACTACAAATAAGGATCAGTTACATTTCAAACGAATGGATATATTAATTCAAATTCAAATGTCCAATCGTATAGTTTTGCAGGCTTAATATAAACAAAAAATAAAAATACCTAAATCCAGCAATTAAGAATAATGACTTATAAACTAATTATTTATTATTCCCTTATAACCTCAGATTTATAGGTATATTTTTTTAAGCCCCAAATCATAGCATAAATGATATATACGCCAAATTAATTCCTCAAAAAATAGTACTCCCTCCGTCCCATAATTATTGTCCAGTTTTGTTAAGATACAAGATTTTATTTTTGGTCAAACAAAACCTTTTTTTTGGCATAAACTCCCACATATACCCCTGTGTACATAAATAGTTTATCCGGCCAAACCCATTTCAGAAAGCAGGAAGAATACTGGTACTTTCATTTGTTCTTCAATCAGGCACCCGAAGAACTTCAAATCTGGAGAATCTTCTCGCTCAAAATTTCAATTTGAAATTTACGAAGACAATTTTTCTATTTCATTGAAAAGTTTTTGGATTGAAGGAGGTCTTCAAATCTGAGCCGCCAATCGAACAAAAGTCTCGGATGAATTGATTTGAATTTGACGAAAGTTCTTGTTTTGAATTTTTAATCTGATGCTCTTCCGATCGATGTAATTATTCTATTTTGTAGACAATGTCCTTCTAATCCATCGCTGCTGCTTGGAATGGTCAGAATTTGTTAAAAATTTATTCTCTATATTCTTTTTCGGCATCTAGCCGACCACCTCATCTTCACCTCTGCTTGAATTCGTCGGAGAACCGTGGTTGCTTGGAACCATCGGAAAATCATCATTTGTGGCTATTGGTGTCGAAGAACCGTTGCTGCTTGGAGCCATCGGAGAACCATTGTTTGCGGCGGCTATTGGTGGTGGTGTGCGTAGGGAGAAAATGTTCCAGTTAGAATGTTTTTCATTTTAGGGATAAAGGGCATATATGTAACTTAGCCTAAAAAAAGTCAAATCGGACAATAATTTTGGGACAAAATTTTTTTAGCAAACTGGACAATAATTTTGGGACGGAGGGAGTAATTCAATCAGATTTTAATAAAATAGTAATTTAGAAGGGGTGCCCGGGATCTGCCTGGGCCAAACATCTAGTATTCTATTACAAAAGAAACATGCGAATGAAGTGGCAGTATTATATGAAATACTTTGAATAAGAGATTATAATCATGGTATTTATGTTCAAAACTTCGTTGGGAGCCATTCAAATAATTACAGAACATGTGATTTGAAATGGCTCCTTCTCATAGAAAAGGTCAAACGGAGATGAAACTAAAACAAAACTGTTATTGTATACCATTGCTTTCTGAACTTTGTTTCGACGAATCAAATAATTCAGAATATTGGTAAAATAGACCTGATCATTTGGAACCATTTGACGTAAAATTCAAAGGTCACCAAATATTTTAAGATATTTCCATTCCCATTTTCACCGTAAATATATTGGGGGAATCGTACTTTCTCTCAACTGCTATTTTTTTCCCCCCATAATTTAGTAAGTTGATGAGAGACCCTGTCAATCAATTGTTTAAGAAAGGGTCATTTTCATCTCAGAAAGCTCATTGAATTTATAGACCAATTCTTGAGTTTACCCATAATTTTACGTAACTCCCTTCTTAACATCGATACGCTACTAGCTAGATTTTGATCATCGTTTTGTAACATGCATAATGTTATTTTGACAACAAAAAATATACACCTTCTGCTTCCAAGGTCAATATACAGCGTATAGTACAAAATTGATTATTGGAACAAAGTAATACGTAGAGTTTGATTAAGTAGTTGATCCTGCCAATTGTTTGCAACAAGGTTATTTTCGTAAACCCAAATCATCTATTATAGATAGGTAGCTTTATTAGTATTTAAGTCAATTTGGTGGGATATGTGAAAGCAAATACATATCACTAACATTTAAATAAAGATATCTTTCCGTATTTGAGAAATGGACGCATATGTCTAGAAGACTACTATTTCCGTCCCATAAAAATAGTCCACATTTTATATTAAAAATAATATAAAACTCAAAATTCCGTGTAGACTATTTTTGTGGGATGGAGGGAGTAGAACACAACGGCAATAAAACTTGGACGAACATGAAGTAGCTTTCTAGGTAGCCAACGATGATTTCAACCGAATCTGGACATCTTTAAGGAAATCATTCATAGCAACGTACGAGGATCCTCCCGCCTTTGTCGCATTTTCTCCGCTAGCCTTTACCTTTCTAACCTTATCCCTGATAGCCTTACCTTCCTCGGACGACTCCATGATAGTTCTCACCATTTCCTCAATCTCCTTTCTGTCCACAACTTTCTTCGTCGGCAACACCTTAGGCCGGACTGCTACGCCGAGCTCCTCCGTGAGCATGGTGGCGTTCTGCCTCTGCTCGGCGTAAAGCGGCCACACAATCAAAGGTACGCAGTTAGTCAGGCTTTCTAAAGTCGAGCTCCAACCGCAGTGTGTCAGAAATCCTCCGACCGATGGATGGCTCAATATCTCCACCTGTGGAGCCCACTGTGGTACGATCTGGCCGATGTTTTTGGTCCGACCCAAAAAACCTTCCGGGAAAAAATCCGGACTCCCATCAGGACCACTCCCGGACGTGAAAAATGACTCATCTGATCTCTCAGCTGGCGGTCGGACCACCCAAATGAACCGTTTCTGACTCAGCTCCAAACCCCAAGCTAACTCCTTGAGTTGATCAGCTGACAGAGTGCCTCCACTTCCAAACGACACATACAGAACCGATTCACTCGGCTGCTTGTCTAACCACTCCATCAACTCGCTCTTTTGACCGTAATTTTCAGCCGGTCTTGTGAACGGTCCGATCGGATAAACCGGTGGTGTAAAATATTCATATTTTCTGAAGGCTTCAAGTGTAACCGGTTCAAGATCTTCCCAAGTGTTGATCAATATTCCATCCGCCCACGAGAACTCTACTCCCACCCGCAAGTACTCTCTGTACACCTGGTCATTCCGGTCAAGCATCGGGTCGACCACGTCCTCAGGCCGGACTGATTTGCACCCAGGGATCTTCAGCGGTTCGGTTTGATCAACGTATTGGCCAACTATTTCGTCATGAAGAACCGGGGTATACCACTGTAGAGCACTAAACCATGCATTACTCGCAATATACAAGTACTTCGGCATGTTCAACTCCGCCGCCATGGGAAAAGCTTCGGTGCAGAAAAGGTCACCGATGAAGATGTCTGGCTGGTCCTTCATTCCGGCAATCGCGGAACGTACTCCCGGCAAAGCCTCGCGTACCATGATGCATATTCGGGCGACTACTTTAGTATTGGCGTCGACCAAGTGAGAGATGTCGGGTGGCGGGATTTCGAGTATTTCGACGTTCGGACCGGAAGCTAGGCTGAGAATCTGAGACTCCGCAGCGGAAGTGCTGGTTTTGATGACTAGTACGGTGACCTTAGCGTCATGATGGGTTGCTAGCCGGTTTCCGATGACTAGAACCGGGATGAGATGACCCAGACCAGGGCTAGCTAGGATGGCAATATGCAGTTTTTTACTATTCATGGATGAAAGATGATGGAGTAAAAGAGCTAAACACAAAGAGGCCACAAGTACTTGTGAGAGAGGATGTAAGCAAAGAGGTCCATCGGTTTGGAATTTATACGGAAAACCATCTAAATTATAATACTCCTTCCTTTCCACAAAAATAATCTAATTTTAAAATGTATAACTTTTTTAATTTAGTCAATACCATCAAGCTGCAACTCATTTTAGTCTCAAAATTTCCATTTCTACCCCTTTTATATCATAAAGCTTGCCCAAATCTAAAACCCATAAATCCTCTCCTTTTTCTTACCGGACCGCAAATCCCAGCGAGACCGTTCGATCCATGGAGTTGCCGGAGGGAGTATTAACAACATAAAACAAGTCCTTTTTAAATATATGATTCCTACTTAGCAGAAAAAAACAAAACAGATACTAACTTCATTGGCATCTTCTTTCCAATACTCACTCAGTCTTTATTATAAGACATTTTGATTTCGTCTTAGGTTTCACCTAAAATTTTTTTTTAATTAGAAAAAAAATCTTAAAAATATATTTTCATATTGTTGTGTTCTCCTAATTACTATAAAATATTTTTAAGATTTTTATTTTAATTAAAAAGGTCTCATAGGTGAAACCTAAGATGAAATCAAAATGCCTTATAATAAAGACCGGAAAGAGTAAAATTTCATTGAAATTTGCTTTATATATAGACTTTTTTTTTAATGAATGAAGGCAAAATCTAAAATACTAGTAGAATACTAAACTATCATAGATAGACCTATCTTGACCTTGATTTCGAAGGAGACAACAAAACATATGCTGAGATGCGTCTTACCTTGCAAATATGCAAATATATATTAATAATATTCTCTCCGTTCTAAAAAAATAGTTTAATTTCATAAAAAATATTATCCTAAAAAAATAGCCCAGTTTCAAAAAATCAAAATAAAATTTGAACCAAAATACGGAATTACCCTTACAACAAAATTGATTTTACTACTTGTACCCTAACACAAAACCAGCCGCTTTCAGATTAGAAACTCAAATCTACACATGCCTCACACTTCTAGCCGCTCATGAGAATCCTTTCTCCGCCTCTCACCGGCAAAATTCCTTTTGCTAACTTAGCCTCCACGTCGGCCAGAATTTCTCCCTACCTGACTTGACGATCTGCTATTCTAATAAATTGCTGTAGATTTTCCGGCGATGTTTATTGCTGCCTTAGCCGCCATTGATAAATCCTCTTCCCGATTAGCTCGGCGTTGCCTTCATCCTCGCAAAAACTATATCCAGAACTGAAGTTTGATGAGATGGACCGAATTCGATCACCTATACCTTTTTGAAATTGGAATAACCATTATTGGTGGCTCATAGCTTGTTTTGTGTTGCCAATTTTCTTTATATATGTCTTTGAATGGATTTGGATATACGGATTATACTCAATAAATTGGTATGGAAATTATTTCTACGTTTTTAGATCTGAAATTTTTGGTAGAGATGGATTGCACCAAAAAAACAGATTCGCAAAATATCTGGGCGGTACCAGTCGAATACTACTCCACCCCTGTTGCAGAGTTTCGTGGTTGGTGGTCAACGGTGGTGGTAGTATCAAATATCAATGAACAAATTAAATTAGGGGAACTATCGGAAATATCTGGATAAAAATGAGTGAGTTGTACTTTGTAAGAGTTGACCAAATTATAAAAGTTATACATTTTAAAACTGAAATATTTTTATGGGATAGAGATAGTAATAAATAATATTAGTCGACTCAAAAAATAGGTTGCCTCCAAATATTATAAGAAACATATTTAATCCCACGTATGGGATTTCATCATCGGGGAAGCAATAATTTTCATATTAAGAAATGGTGAAGAAAAATGAAATTATATATTCAAAACTGACAACGAAGATAAATTGCCACCGGCATGACGAGTTGAAGACGATAAATGATCTAATTCTGGGCTAAAATCCATAAAGTTTATTGGGTTTTTCTCATTTTGTTTTTTTCCACTAGTCAAAACTGGAAAGTACACAAGACGTTGTAAACGTCGATCATTACGGCACCAAATTCTAGCAAGGCCAGTGTAATGTTTGTATGTGCTAATTAGATGCACTAACAACGCTATATATGATGCGAATTGAGAACCTTGTTTCGAAAAATCGCGTGCGTGCTAATATATATCTGAGCTAAAAATTATTATAAACAATCACATTTCCACACCAATATGTAGTTTTATACAAATAAAAAAAAAAAAAAGTAAATAGCCTATCAAGAAACACAAATACTTCACATAGAATTAAACATCTCTCTAGTAATCATAGTGCAACGGGAATAAGGAAAAGAGAAACTTCAAAATAATATACCAGCGACATCATATCCATTCGGTTTATAAAATCCAATACAAACACACAAAAGCAAATTCATCGGAACAAATTAGTTTGACAAATCGAAACCATAAATTTTGTAGCCTAAGACCGCATATTCAACCTCACGGTGACATCTTTAAGAAAATCACGCATAGCGTTGACCGATGATCCTCCCTCCTGTATTGCATCCAATGCACTGATCTTCACTTGTTTAACCCTTTCCCGAATCAACTTGCCCTTTTCAGATGCCATGATAGTTCTCACCATTTCCTCAATCTCCTTTCTGTCCACCACTTTCTTCGTCGGCAAAACCTTAGGCCGGACAGCTACGCCGAGCTCCTCCGCAAGCATGGTGGCGTTCAGTCTTTGCTCCGCGTAAAGCGGCCAAACAATCATGGGTACTCCATTTTTTAGGCTTTCTAAGGTTGAGCTCCAACCACAGTGAGTAAGAAACCCTCCGACGGACGGATGGCTCAAAATCTCCACCTGTGGAGCCCATTGTGAAACAATCAGACCGAGGTTCTTGGTCCGACCCAAAAACCCTTCAGGTAAATAATCCGGAGTACCATCAGACGAACCACTCCCCGAAGTGAAAAATGACCCATCAGCAATCCGAGCAGGCGGTCGGACCACCCAAATGAATCTCTGTTGACTTATCTCCAAACCCCACGCAAGCTCAATCAGTTGTTCAGCTGATAAAGTACCACCACTTCCAAATGAAACATACAGGACCGATTCACATGGTTGCATATCTAGCCACTCCATCAACTCATGATTCTCTCGATTCGGACCCTTCGGTTCACCCGGCCTTGTGAGTGGTCCAATTGGATAAACCGTTGACATTATCACTTCTCGTAGAGATTCGTTTTCCCTGAAGGCTTCAAGTGTAACCTGCTCGAGATCCTCCCAAGTGTTGATCAAAATTCCATCACCGGTCGAGAACTCCCTTCCCATCCGCACTAGTTCTCTATACTGCTGGTCGTTCCGGTCAACCATCGGCTCGACTACGTCCTCAGGTCGGATCGATTTGCAGCCGGGAATCTTCAGCGGCTCGGTTTGGTCAACGTATTGACCTTCAATCTGTTTATCCAGAACCGGAGAATACATCTTCAGGGCAACATGCCACGCGCTTGTCGGAACGTACACGTACTTTGGCATGTTAAACTCGGTGGCTATGCTGAAAGCTTCCGTGCAGAAGAGGTCGCTGATCAAGATATCTGGCCGGTGGCCGTCCTTCATCCCGGCAATTGCGGAACGTATAAACGGCAAAGCCTCACGCACCATAATACATATTTTCGCGACCGCTTTAGTATCGGCGTCGATTAAGTGAGAAATGTTGACCGGTGGAATTTCGAGTATATCCATGTTTGGGCCGGAAGCGAGGTTGTTGAGAACTTGCGACTCGACAGAACTGCTGGTTTTGTTGACCAATACAGTAACCTTAGCACCGTGATCGGTGGCAAGGCGGTTTCCGAGGATAAGAACCGGGATGAGATGACCCAAACCGGGGCTTGCTAGTATAGCAATGTGCAGTTTTTGGTTGATCATAGTTGGAAGATGGATCGGAAAGATGTGGGGGTTTGAAATTAATGAAGGAAAAATGCTGAACTCACATGGCGAGCTCTGCGGCCCCGAGACTAGACTACTTAATTATATTCATGTGGAATTAAATTTATTCAGAAGGGCTGCCTTTTTGTTCTGAATTGAAAACTATAATTAACTATCTGCCTCGTTTTATTGCATTCATTAAACAAAAGGTTTTACTTAGGCTAGCTGACTTCTTGGCATCTTTACACGTTATGAGGGTTAAACTATAGGACTTAACTCCCCGAAGCATGTTCGCTTCCGCTCTTCATATAAGGCATAAATAACTTTTTATATAAATTTATTAAATGACTAAGGTAATTACTCCTTTATCTAAAGAAATAGTCCACATTAATTTTTGAAATTTGTACTAAAACTATTTCGAGACAGAGGTAGCTTCTTTTTGGAGGAAGTACCTTTATATATCATCTACGTTAAAAATTTCTTCAAATTTTTAGGAATCAGTCAAATTAAAATTTTGTCAATTTCAATTGGGATAGAAATTCCTTCAAATTTTGCTTATGCTATTTGTTGTCCTCCTAAATCCTACGTAGCGTCCTTTTTGACAAATATATCCATGTCATAATTTAAAACCCAAAGCCTATTTTTCTTCCACTTCTACCAAATTCTCTCAAACTCCAAACAAAAAAAAAAGACTTTTCAATCTGGAAGTTATAACAATGGAGGATGAAGTGGGTCTTGGTGGAGACAAAGATCTATGCGTAACATTTCTCATTTCTTTAAAATTTTTATCTGAAATTTATTGAAAAAAAGGGGTTTGGCCGGTTGGACGCCCAACGATCACGCCCGACCGGCTGCGAAAGCGTCCTGATCAAACATCAATTAGCAAATGTTGGCGTCTGAACTGGACGCTGGCGCCACCAGTTGGGCGCCACCATCAGACGCCCAAACGGCCAGTTTAGTGTCTGAGAGTGACCGGCGGTCTAGCTTTTGAAGTTTGCGCTTGTGTCACGGGCATACTTTTTCAAAGTAACCGCCGTGCGGCACTAGCACTAAAACCACCAACGATGAACGTGCTAGCTCAGCGTTGACCCCTTAAACGTGCAAAACTATGCAAGAGAACTTAAAAACGTAGGCAAACGAAAGCTTAAGAAACCCTGGAAATGAAAGAACGATGTAGGCACAAGAGAGCTTAAGGAATGCTTGAGAATTCTTACTCAAAGCTTGGATGGTTACAAATGAGGGAGGCTTGGGGTAATTTATAGGCTAAGTCCCCAAGTCCATGAGAATTCTAGAGAATTCTATACAAAGAATAAAATAATAGCTATCTAGAGAATTCTAAGACTAAAATATTATAAGTGTGAAATTCCATAGAATTCCATAAGTCCCTAGAAAGCTCTATCCCATTCCAGACCGTTCCATCAAAACTCGGTAGCTTCCCTACGTTTCCAGCAACGTCCGGCTCCTTCTAGAGAATTCCAATTCTGTCTGGGCTTGACCGGAGGATTCTAGCAAGCCCTAACTCGACCTGTTCCTTGTTTCGTCTAAGGAAAAGGCCCGGCTAACCAACAAACCACACAAAAACGTGGAAAAGCCGGCTAACCTGAGAGACGGGAAACGGCCATGACATTCTCCCCCACCAAAACCGCCCCGATGCACGCTAAGATTCGAAAGCAATGTTGATGGGAACGGGTGCACGATTCTCCTCAAAGTCCTCGATCAACTTGGTGAATTGCTAAAGCTTCTCGACCGGCTCCCAACTCGTCTCGCTCATTGGCAAACCCTTCCATCTCACCAAGTATCCTTTAGTCGCTGCCCCGTTCTTGCCTCGAACGATCCTCTTAGAAAGGATCTCCTCCGCGGTCCGCTCCTCATGCTAGCGTATGCTAGCGGGTACCCTTGATGAAACGTTTCATTCTTCGTCTTCCGAGTCCTTGCGATATGACTTAAGCAGGCTCACATGAAAGACCGGATGAAGCCTTGAAAAGGCCTCGGGTAGCTCCAACTTATAAGCAACGGAACCTACTTTCTTAAGAATGGTGAAAGGACCCTCATACATGCGCATGAGTCCCTTGTGAAGACCATGGCTCCATCCACGCTCATAGAGTTTCACCAGGATTTGGTCGCCTTCCTCAAACTCACGACGGCTCCATTTCTTGTACGCCCATTTCTTCATGCGTGCAACCGACTTCTCTAAGTAGAGCTTTGCCTCATCCGCCCATTCTTGCCAATCCTTGGCAAACTTGTATGTGGGAGGGCTATTGCCCTTGTAGCCCCCAAGGATGTCCTTAGGTGTAGTCGGTTGGAAACCAAGGATAATCTCAAACGGACTCTTGCCAGTGCTCCCGCTCCGCATCAAGTTGTAGGAAAATTGAGCAACGTCTAGCAAACGTACCCAATCTTTCTGGTTGGCTGCCACATAGTACCTAAGGTACACCTCCAAGAGATCGTTGATGCACTCTGTCTGCCCATCTGTTTGTGGGTGCAAAGATGTAGACATCTTGCGCTTCGTCCTAAGCAAACAAACGAGTTCTTGCCAAAAAAAACCGGTGAACCTTGAGTCCCTGTCAATTATGATCGATGTAGACAGCCTCCAATACTTCACCACATGCCTAAGAAAGAGTTTGGCCATTATCTCCGCTGGTGCACTCCTTTGGGGCGGGTATAAAGACCGCATACTTAGACAAACGGTCCACCACAACAAGGATATTGGTGCAACCCTCGGAAACGGGCAAACTCACAATGAAGTCCATTAAAACGCTGTCTCACGGGCGTTCCGGAATAGGCAAAGGTGATAGCAAGCCATGCAGGTGATCTTGTTCGGTCTTGTCTTGTTGGCAAACGAGATAAGTCCTCACATTGGTCTCCACATCTTCCCGCATGCGAGTCCAATAGAACCTTCATGAACCAAAGCAAGTGTATGATACGTACCTGGGTGACCCGCATAACGGCTATCATGGCAATCCCTTAGGATCTCCCTTCTAAGTCCATCCCATGTGGGCACGTACAAATGGTTCCCCTTGGCATAAAGTATCCCATCTTGATACGATCAAGCAACATCTTCTCGGGTATGCTAACGATTGGAGCAAGACACGCCTTTCGGCTTAGGTCGTCAGCCACGTGGTTAGTCTTCCCCGGGCTGTATTCTAGCTCATACTTAAACTCGGCCAAGAAATTCAACCAACGTGTTTGCTTGCTAGAAAGCTTGGGTTGGCTTTGATGGTAGCTTACTGCCCGATTGTTCGTCTTGATTTTGAGCGGCGTTACTGCCTTCAAGTAATGCTCCCAAACTCTAAAGCAATGAACTATGGCCAACATCTCTTTCTCTTGCGTCGGCCACCTTTTCTTGGTCTCGTTCAACTTGCGGCTTTCATAAGCAATCGGGTGACCGTCTTGCATGAGAACGCCCCCTACGGCGAAGTCCAAAGCGTCCGTACATACTTCGAATGGCTTCTCAAAATTAGGGAGAGCTAGGACTGTCTCTCGAGTGGCGGTGTCCTTCAAAGCTTCAAACGTCGTTTGGTGCTTAGGTGTCCAGCACCATACTTGCCCTTTCTTCAAGAGATCCGTTAACGGAGCGGCTATGGCGGAGTGCCCCTCAATGAACCGCCTATAGTAATTAGCAAGCCCCAACAACAATCTCAGCTCCGTCGGCTTCGGGGGTGCCTCCCATTCCATGATAGTCTTAATCTTAGCCGGATCCATGCGGATTTTGCCCCCACCGATGATGTGCCCCAAGAACGACACCTCCTCAAGGCCAAAGGAGCATTTCTCCCATTTGACATAGAGCTCGTTCTCCCTAAAAACTTGGAAAACAGCCCTAAGATGCTCCACATACTCCTTCATGGTGTTGCTATAGATAACGATGTCGTCCAAGTATACTACAACAAACTTATCAATGAAATCGGCTAGCACACGTTGCATCAAAGTGCAAAACGTGTCTGGGGCATTAGTTAAACCGAACGGCATAACAAGAAACTCATAAGAGCCATACCTCGTCACCATGGCCGTTTTCAGTTCATCACCGGATGCTATGCGCACGTGATAATATTCCTACCGCAAGTCCAACTTGAAAAAGATCCTTGCCCGTTGTAACCGATCAAACAAGTCCGCTATAAGAGGGATAGGGTACTTGTTCTTCACGGCCAGCTTGTTCAAAGCCCGATAGTCGATGCACAAACGTAGCGTCCCATCCTTCTTGTGTTGAAGCAAAACTGGTGCACCCCAAGGACTCTTGGACGGCCGTACATGACCCAATTCTAGCAATTCCTTGATTTGCACCTTGAGCTCCTCTAGTTCGCTAGGGGACATACGATAAGGCACCTTCGCGACCGGTTTCGCTCCGTCCACCAATTCAATGGCATGATCAATTTTTCGCCTAGGTGGAAGACCCTTGGGCAATTCCTCGGGCATCGCGTCTTTGAACTCAACAACGATGAACATGCTACCTCAGCCTTGACCCCTTAAACGTGCAAAGTTATGCAAGAGAACTTAAAAACGTAGGCAAACGAAAGCTTAAGAAAGCCTGGAAATGAAAGAACGATGCAGGCACAAGAGAGCTTAAGGAATGTTTGACAATTCTTACTCAAGACTTGGATTTATTACAAATGAGGGAGGTTTGGGGTATTTATAGGCTAAGTTTCCAAGTCCATGAGAATTCTATACAAAGAATAAAACAATAGCTATCTAGAGAATTCTAGGACTAAAATATTCTAAGTGTGGAATTCCATAGAATTCCATAAGTCCCTAGAAAGCTCTATCCCATTCCAGACCGTTCCAGCAAAACTCGGGTAGCTTCCCTGCGTTTCCAGCAACGTCCAGCTCCTTCTAGAGAATTCCAATTCTGTCTCGGCTTCAACGGAGAATTCCATCAAGCCTTAGCTCGACCCGTCCCTTGTTCCGTCTCAGGAAACGGCCCGGCTAACCAGCAAACCACACAAAAACGTGAGAAAGGCCGGCTGGCCCGAGAGACGGGAAACGGTCGTGACATTTGGCCGTCGGTCTCAACGTCCAACCCAGACGCGCCGATTTCCGGTGAAGAGTCCATATTAGACGGTGTTATCGCCAGTCAGGCGCAAATGCCGGACGTCCGACCGGTGGTCGTCCTTCTATTTTTTTTTTTCAAACCAGATCGAACAAACAATTTTGC